ATAGAAATAGGAGTCCGCATCCTTAATAACTATCAATCCCTCATAGGATGAAACGATAGGACGAAGAAGCTACCGGTTTTCGTTTTACTTTCGCTCTCCCCTCCCAGGCGCCCGTCACTCCTACCGTCCTACGCAGTCATAAACATGCTCCACATACGGCATCGCTTCGCGCCGTAGACATGCAACAATCGATCGCCCGTACATCAATCGGCACCGCTGCTTTTCATGACGGACGTACATCGTCCGCACTACAGCGACAGGCGCGGTACACGCTGGCTATCTGTAACACCCGCTGTTGACTTTGTTGTCAGTCTACTGTCAGGTACTGTTCAAGGACTTCAAGGTATAATTTCAATTTTTACATTCTTCCCCCCCCCCAATTTTCTCAACGAATTTGACGTTTCACAAAATTGACCTCTGCGACTGTCAAATCCGCCGATCCGCCGAAAAATCTCATCCCGGAGTCAGTATGTATGCGTGTGTGTGCATGTGCATGCGCGTGTGCGTGTGCGTGTGTGTATGTATGTGCGCGCCCGTGTGTGTGTAAATGTGGTAAGTGTGTGCGTGGGTGTGCGTGTGATTGTGCGTGCGCATGGCCGTGTGTCTGTGAATGCGGTGTGTGCGTGCGTGCGCGCGTGTGTGTGATGTGTGTGTGCGCGCGTGTGTTCAAATATTTGACAACGGGAGGTGTAACCCTGCCCGCCGCCGTCCACTGACTTTCAAAAATATATATCTTCAAAACTACTCAATGCATTTTGCTTTTTTTAAAAGAATTTGACTTATTATTGATGCTTCTAACCAGAATGCTATTTAAAAATATATATAAATAAGTGAAATTGTACTATGAAATCACCCCATTTCCTTCTTCTTCTTTTTAAATTGAATGTCATTTTAAGGTAAAATTTCAGATTTTATATATATTTAGATACAATTTTTTTTTAAACAAATATTGGTATATGACTCGAGTCATATGACTCAGTACCGATGGGTACGGAGTCTAAATATCAGTATGTTTCGTTTACTGTAAATACATCCTCAAATAAAAGCGAGAGATAAATGGCAGTCAGACCCCACTCGAACCCGTCTGGAGGACGGGTAATAGCTAGTGTATATATGATATCTGTGCGGTATAAATTTTCATCATTTTGTTAGGGGGTAATTAATCTCACGTTCTAACGAAGTATATCTCCTTGAGATTATTTACCCCTGATTTTTATGAAATAGACCAATACGCTGAGAATTTTGATAAACGGGACACCATTCAAAACGTTTCGGCTTTTACCGTCAGCTACGCAAGGGGCGCTGCTGTCGCGATTGAATCAGTAGACTGGTACCCGGTCGACAGTTTCACACGCTACACGTAGCGTACATCAGTGTAGCGAAAGATATATGCCGGAGTGAAGGTGACGAACGGGTACCAGTCTATTGAATTGAGATTTTGTTTGCAATGTGTTCATGTTATTTTAGCATCTAGGCCTAGTTAGCATGTACTGTGTACTCTACCGTAGGTCTTCTGATTGAGAGCGCTGATCAGCATCTTATCAGGAGAAAAGTGAGAGTTTCAGTTACTGTTCATGGTCTAGCACTATCTGTTCCGATGGCGACCGAACCGACTTTGAACTTGTATACCGACATCAAGGAAGACTGGGAAACATTCAATAAGGACTTTGCTACTCTTGAAGTAAGTCACTATTACTAAGGTTCATGCTCACAGGGTCTATGTCCCCCAGGGTACTGTCCGGCAGTACACTGGGGGACATAGACCCTCTCAGCAATGCTCACAGGGTCTATGTCCCCCAGGGTACTGTCCGGCAGTACACTGGGGGACATAGACCCTCTCAGCAATGCTCACAGGGTCTATGTCCCCCAGGGTACTATCGAACCCTACCCAGGGTACCCTCCGATAAGGATAGTACCCTGGGGGGCATAGACCCTCTCAGCGTCACTAAGTGTCGGATACGTCATTCGTCAACACGTCATATATCACTTTGACACTTTTATTTGCAGTGAATAGTAACTTATAATGTTATTAACGCCAGTTGCGCCCGCGGTGATGTAACAGTGACTGTGGGAATTGTTTACCGCATCATGCATCACCTTCATTTAACCCTAGTACCAGAATTGCATCATCCTGAGTAATACTAGTGATGTAATCTTACGGTTACAACTTACATATATAGGCATTACAGGCCTATCATTATATGCTAGCGTAGGCCATCACCTATTCTACACATGTTCGTTGGGTTACGTTATTGTATCAACTTGTGACGTTAGCTCTATGCAAGGGTAAAGTTAACGGAGATATGAGATGTATTAGTGTCGGTTGGTGGTCGATCAGGCTGGTGTTTGGCTGCCCACCTACCTCACTCTGTGTCTGTGTACCTTCCTGCCAGCCTATTCAGATACAGAGTGGCTATATGCCCAGCAGCCGGCATATATCTGACGGCTGCCGGGCATATAGCCACAGCGATTTAGATGTGTTTCTTCCTGTCTGCCTGTGGGAGTATCTGTATAGTGGTTAGTGTTACCGGGGACATTAACCCACTTAACAAATTCTATGCCGTCCAATGTTTGTCGCTTGCTACACTCTCCCTACAGTGCCAGTCTGCCTCCCTCCCTGTCTCCCTTCCTGTCTGCCTGTTTGCCTTCTTCCCTGACTGCCTCCCTCCTTGCCTGCCTGCCTGCCTCCCTCCCTGCCTGCCTGCCTCCCTCCCTGAGCTCCCTCCCTCCCTATCTGCCTGCTTCCCTGCCTGCCTACCTGTCTCCCTCCCTGCCTGCCTGCCTCCCTCCCTCCCTACCTGCCTGCCTCCCTGCCTGCCTGCCTCCCTCCCTGCCTACCTGCCTCCCTCCCTGCCTGCCTGCCTGCCTCCCTCCCTGCCTGCCTGCCTGCTTACCTGTCTGCCCATCTATTATTCATACCTGTCTATAAAGGACACTCGTGACATTTCCCTTGAGTGACAGTTATACAGTCCGGCCACATCCATGGAGCGGATACCCCTGTATAAAGGCCACTATCGGCAATTCCCGTGAGCGGCCCTCATATACAGGTGTGACTAGGTGGTTAGCTGTGTGCACGCGATGTTCTGTGGTTGGGAAACCCGGGGATTGGGACAGTGTTTTAAGTTTACTGTACGCTGACGTGCGTGTGGTAGTGCGAATGCATGTGTCTGCACTCACCTGTGTGCGCGTATGGGGGGGGGGTAGTACTGTGATTTAAAAAAATTTAAATCTAGCATGCAGATAAAAGATTTCTCTTTAGCAGTGACTTGCCGAAGCATTGGGTCAGTTCGTAGACGAACGTTGTTTTGCAGTTTTCCTGCAAGCATAGTATAGTGTAGCAGCGCGCTGCAGTGTGTTTCAACGAACACCGGGTGGTAATATTTCAGTGCTGTTGCTTGGTTAATGCCTAAGGATTCGTTTGAGAGCGTCGGTGTCAGGAGTTTTTACCCCACTTTGACTACGTGTCACATCAGGGGACATAAACCCTAGTTTTATGCTATGCAGGATTTATGTGCTCTTGGATTGATCGTATGACGTCAGTACATCTACGGGCCCGCATTCCTTGCAATGAGAGCGTGCAGACAGTTTAGCTATTATGCCCATTATACGAGCCATTCTGTGTGTTTTCAATTTCCCTTGGCCGCAGCAGGATGCAAGAGAACACGTGTACTCCTGGTCGCAGTGTTTTTACGAAAGCCGTCTCAAAGTTAGCAGACAATTATATGAAATTGAACCAGTGTCATCTAGTTAAAATTGCTTCAGCGTGTGCCCAATTAAAAGCATTTAATGCTTCAAGAGAAAATAGAGAACGACCTTTAAAAAGAGGCTAGCGTTCTGAGTATTTTGATTTATTCCCTGTTAGTCATGTCAAGCCTGATATTGGGTGTTGGCGCAGTTCTTTGAATTCACTTGTACTTTTAAATCCACCCCCTAATTAGTTAATCCTACGTTATCTGGTATATTCGTTACGTGAACTAGCATCACAATGGATCTGTAATGATGACTAGGCGATTATTTTACGATATAAGTTAGTAAATCGTGAGCATCGTAAGATGCAGAAAAATTTCACGGTTTTTGGATAGAAAGCCCTTCTGCGTAGAAACCTATTCAAATATGTAACTGACAGCGACGAATCGATAAGCAAATGCGAAGCATACATTAGAATTTGCTGAGTAAGCAACTCCCGCGGACACGCTATCTGTTCTACGTGATACGGCCTGAAAATTTGTGCTAGTCCGGCCGGAAGTCCGCCGATGAACTGCTGGTGCAGGGTAGCAACGCTTTTGGACAAAAATAATCACGACACAAAACGTGATCAAAATCATTTCGGTTTTATATTTCTAACTACTTAAAATCCAAACTAGAAACGTTTGAATTTGTTTGGTGGATGTGCATCATGCTTTGAAATTCTATGTAGAAAATTAAAAACTGCAATTGGTGTATGGCTACAGAAATCTGAACATTTTGAATGAAAAACTCAAGACAGTATAATTATACTTTGATGGTATTTATTTTTTCACGTAACAGACTTGATTTTTGTGGAAATTACCAATCAGCGCAGCGCGTCTCGCGCACACTCTGAATTCAATCATCGTAGAGCTGAAAGATTGTCCAAGTTGGTTCTTGGGGTAAACAGCAGTGATAGCCATATTTACACGTTAACGAAAATTCCGTCGCTAGATGGCGCCACCAGGTACGGTACGCGCTAGGTCAGTATAGCCCTCTCACATACTGGTCGATCAAACAATACTACGTCATTACTATCACACTATGTAGCCATGTTATGTTAGTTATTGGATAGCTGACAAGGCAGAGACATATCGTACGTGCGTTACAACCAGCTGCGTCTCTTTACTTGACCACGTGCGCGATCGTATTGTTTCTCGGGTTGAACAGCCGCTACGAAAAAAGGAATGTTAGTTACAAGTGCAAAGTTACTACGGAGACGGGGTTTTCCCCGTCCTCCCGGGACGATATTCTAACTCTAGATGCAAAAACAGAAAAACGTGGCGTACGTCGCGAGGGTGGGTCTGTCTCTCCGTCCGTAGCACCGCCGCGAGAGCACGTGGGATGCGTTACTTTGCGGCTTCGAATTCTGGTGCCCCGCGAATCAACGACACCCCTATGACATACACACACATATATATATACATCGTGTTTTGTACACCCAACAGGGAAAAACCATTGTTACCGGGACTTGAAATGTCCTTTTCCCGTGATTGGCACATTTTAGCCAGATACGGTAACCGATTTTAGTCTAATACGGTAACCGATTTTAGCCAAATACAATAACCGATTTTAGCCAAATACAATAGCCGCTTTTAGCCAAATACAATAACCGATTTTAGCCAAATACAATAACCGATTTTAGCCAAATACAATAACCGATTTTAGCCAAATACAATAACCGATTTTGGCCGAATACAATAACCGATTTTAACCGTATACAATAACCTATTTTAACCGAATATAATACCTGTGCCTCACGCTGTCCAATCAAAGATTAGCGAGAAAAAACTTTTCCAAAGCACTTTTTTACTGCTTCTTAGATAAGACGAGACGTTTGTTTCTATTCTAAAGGACTTTCCAGGACCAAACACCACGTTAGATCATTCTCCAGGTTGCCTGGGAATCCTAACGTGTGTGCATGGACCGGAACAGTACACGATGCGTGTACCAGGTGAATGAGGTTACGAAGTTTAGACCAGGACAGTCCCGGACGTAGACGCACACACACCTACACTCACGTTACGATTCATGGTTAACCACTGCAGTGCAATTTTTCGGGAACACACAGAACATACCTGAGCCTTATACCTCCCAAGACGAACGATGGGGGTGGAGACAAAATAACTACAAAGGGAAATACACATCTACAAAACGGGGGAAACAAAAGACGAAAGAGAAAAAAACGGACGCGGGGGGGGGGGGACGGTAAACACACATCGGTTTCTTAAATGCCGTCATCTTCTTCGATCTGATCTTTCCGGATTCTACGCCGCGATGGAGAGAGACGGAGAGAGACGTAGAAAGAGAGATAGAGCGTGGTAGTGGTCACGAGGTACTAGCATCATCGCACCGTCACGGCCGCCTTTCGAAAAAAAGACGACCGCAACAGCAAAAAAAAACGGAGAGTCGCGCGCGCGCGCGCGGGGAGAAAAACGGGGGAAGAGTTGAGCGGCGGGCGCCCGTCTATGGCCGGATGCGCTTGGCGTGCAGGTTGTTGTAGTAGGGCATGCAGTCCTCGATGCACGCCTGGATGGGCTCCGGCAGCGAGGCGACGTCGAAGTCCTTGCGGCCCGACGGCGGGTGGAACCGTGTCGACTTGAGCACGCCCGTAACCCACGGCAACCAGGCTCCGAAGACGGACTCGTCGACCGGGCAGTCGGACCAGTCTAGCATCGTGTCAACGTACGTGAGGCCCGTCAGCTTGCAGTACTGCTGCAGTATCGACTCTACAAGAGAGAGAGAGGAAGATAACGATGAGGTAGATGTGGAGAGAGAAAGAGAGAGGGGGAGAGAGAGAGAGGAAGATAACGCTGAGGTAGGATGTGGAGAGAGAGGAGAGATCTAGATTCTAGAGAGAGGAAAGAGAGAAAAAAGCGAGAGAGGAGAGTGAGAGAGAGAGAGGAAATGCTAAGGCAGATGTAGAGAGAGACGATTCGAAAAACCACGCGAGACGCGGAGGGCCTAGAATCGAATTCCGTCAGACCATTTTGCGAAACGTCGCGAAAGACGCTAGAATGGATACCGTCGCGAAATTCTGGGACATTGCAGGAATCAATTCCGGAATCAATACCTCGAAGATTCGTCGGCATGAAATACTGGAATGCATGAACGACTCGATACAATTCCAGTGCTGGAAAATGCACTCCGTTCGTCCCAATACTCTGGGACCGGTAACTTTTGAACAGGACTGACTACTTTTTGTGGATTTCACTATGGATTACTACATACATCGTAGAGATTCTTCAAAATCGGGGACCGACAGTTCTGTCGCCACAACAGAATAGATACGGAACAGAAAACATTTCCATCGTAAGAACAGAAAAAACGCTCGAACGTGTACGGACGGCCGAAATAACGCCATCTTGGATTCACTCCACGTATGTTTGCGGTTGCCGCGGCGACTGACCTGGATTGCGGACGAGGTCTTCGCTGTCGATGACGATGGCTTCCTGTCCGAGCTCCTTCGTGACGTGATCAAACAGCATGCTCAGCTCCTTGTATCCGACTTCGGACTCATCGAAATGGTCCCATCCTGCGTGCGTGGCAGAGAAGAGAGAGAGAGATGTGAGAGCGAGATGAGAGAGAGAGAGAGAATCATGGTCACTGTCCAAGAAATCACCGTCACTGTCTATGATAGAACTACGATGGGCAGTCCTACTCCAGTCGTAGCCTCTGAAACCTCGCTATCGCCACCTGAACAAAATTGTCTAAAATTCTGTCTACGGTCCAGGGAAAAATTACTCTTTTTCTCATGGAATCTCTTTTTCAAGTCTGAGGGAAAATGTTACAGGAGCGATTTCGGAGGTTTGAAGAGCGAATCGCTCATCGCTCCCGTGTATTATTTACACTGAAACTCACCCGTGTGGGCGATGTCCGTCGAGGCCTTGTGCATTGATGCGATCGCACGCGCCGGGTGTCGGATCTGGAACGTGTGCACGTAGCCCTCCGGCAACAGCTCGTCGTAGTCGCCGCGCTGAACGACGGCGTACGCCATGTCCTTCACGAACACCGCCTTGCTCGTCTCTGCAAGAGCGAGAACGCCAGGGGGCGCCGGTGACGACGAGCTCGCGGCGGCGGCAGGGGGCGTGGCCGGCGGGCGTCGCTGCGGCAACCGCACGCTCGACAGTTGCTATTGGCTCGTGCGCAGCGCTAGAGAGGCAGGGGGGGGGGAAGAGGAGGAGCCCTGAATGAGAGGGATCGGAGAAGGTCAGGGGGAGAGATGAGGAAGGGGAGATGGGATGGAGCAGCCAGAGAGAGAAGGAGAGGCGGTTATCGTAGGGAGGGGGAAGCAGGGGGACTTAAAAAAGGGTCTTGGAGAAAAGGAGAATCCAAGAAAGCAGAGCCGGGGGGAAGAAAGAGGCCGAGGCGAGAGGAGAATCAGGGAGAGACCGACGAAAGGAGGAGTACGTTTTTCGCTCATCGGTTCCCGCAGGAGTCCTCCTGTCGCGTCCGACTCCCTGCGACGCTGGAACATCGACAGTAGTTGTCGGGAGAGCGGCTACAGATGTACGGATGTGACACACGGACCTGCGTGGGTTTACTGTGTTTACTGATACAGTAAGGAGAGATCAGGGTTTACTGGTACAGTAAGGAGCAGTATTATGGTACAGTAATATACTGGTACAGTAAGGAGCAGTAACGAGCAGTATATGGCGTTTGCCGTGGGTTAGAATCTATGATGTGACAAGTGTGGAAAGTGTTGGCACAGCACATGCGCGCACGAGCAAATAGAACTGTAAACGCACACCAACCAGGTCGAGCTAGTGCTATAGTAATTAGTATAGACTAATTAGTATACTCTCAGTCGACCCGGTTGCAACGAGGTGTGGGAGGGACAGTGCGTGCAGGCTTGCCTGCTGTCCCTGTCACCGGGTGAGGCCTCCCTCTCCCCCCTCGGAGTCCCCTCTCTCCCTCCCCTTCCCCTGGACCTCTCTCGGAGGCTCCCCTGCCCGTCTACCTCCTCCCCTTCTCTAATTGACCCCCACCCACCACCCTACTCAGTCCCACTCCACAGAACTGCTCTTCATCCACCATTCTCCTCCGCTCTCTCCACCAACTCCATCCCGCGCTCCCCCTCCCTCCCCCACTCTCGATCCCCTCCTACCCCACCCATGCATCCTCTGTCCCACCAGTTCCTCCCCAATCCACCCCCTCCCCCGAGCTAGGAGATATTAAGGTAGAAAGAAGGTGAGTATCGATGATGGTCTCTTCGCTCCAGATCCTCCGGCCAAGGTGGGAATGACGTCTCCTGATACGGTCTCCAGCCTGCTAAACTGACGTTGCCAAAACGGGGGGGCCACCCCTCCACCACCCCTCCCCCTAGCTCGGGACGTTGTCTGCCCCCGCTGTCAGGCCGCTTTTGGCTTTCTTCGGCAAGTCTTTGGGTGACCTTCACGCAGCAATAGGGGTCGGGGAGACGGTCGTGATGGTCGCAGCCGTGGTCGGGTGCACGCACTTCTGCTCTCTCTCTCTCTTCTCTCTCTACCCCCCTACCGGCTGCATCTGACCCCCGGCTCCAGGAGTCCCCCACTTCTTTGCAGGTCCCTTCGGGGCTCCCCCGCTAGGTGGCGCCACGTCTGCTCCGGGACATTGAGCGATAAATTTTCGACCGCCGCGCGCGCGAGCGGACAAGCGAACAGCCAAAAACCGAGACAGACAAAACTGTGAAACGCCGGCGTTCGTCCGGCCTGAGGAACGAAATCATCGAAATATCGCCTAACTATCGCTTAAATATCGCTTAAAATATAGCTCGACGACCGTCGCATGTGAACGCAACTACTCTTAAAAAAAAGGCGACCGCTAGCAAGGACTCGACTCTATTCGTTAACCTTAACTTCCGATCAGGTGCATCCAGATTTCATTCGTCGCGACGCGCCTGCCCTACCCCTGGGGGGATTTTCCGTCATTCAATCTCGCGCGAGCGAGCGAGCAATCGCCACAACGCACAGACCCCCCCCCCTTTGCAAATCCAATTTTCGATTTGGCTTCTAATCCCTTCTTGGCGCGCGAAAGCCACCGAGAAATGTAAGGGGGCTTATAACGTCAGAGCGGACGAATCGTAAATCAGCGGAGAGCGTGACGCAGGTTGGAATTGTCGACGCCACGGCTGACTAGCCCGCGACGCGTCGTAAAAAACGCTGTGCAGGTCACCCACCGGAAGCAGGGGATTAAATGTTGTTGCTAGACAATTTTATGGTTTCGATTCGCCCCTCGAAAGTTCGTAACGATTGCGCGACTGAATCGAACGATGTGCGCGCACGGGGGTTCTACGTGGTGGCCATGGCACCGAGCCGAGCTAAGCAAGCAAAATCTGGATGCACGATCGTTGCTACGCAGTCTCGCCATCTACTACGATGGCACGACACTGCCTTCTAGATGTGTTATGCACGCAGCAGAGAAACCCATTTTCGGACAAAGAGGTGACGGAAAGGAAAGAGGGGAGAGGCGCCAGAATCGGACGGGAAAAGGGTGCTGCGGAATCGAAAGGGGAAACGGGTGAAGTGGAACGTTAGAACCAGAAGTGCGTGTCTAGTGTGCACATAAAATGAGAAGAGAAGAAATCAATAAGTCCGGAAATAAAACGGCAGACGGGATCCACCAGGACAGGCGGGGCGGGGGAGGGACTTGCGGCTTAGCCAAGAAACAAGTGCGCGTGACGCCGGTCGAGTCTCGAGGCTTGCCAGCGACGGAACGGAGGCGCGGGGGGGTGCGGAGCGGAGACGGAGAACGAACAGAAGAAGAAATAGGCGCGGCAGTGACGTGTGATGCCACCTATAGCCTCGCAAACTACCGTTCATCTCTCCCTCCAAGAAATTCTTCACTCCGACAAACGTCGATTGCTTCTTGGACGGGTCCCCGACCACCTCTTCGTCTTCGTCATACCGCCTACTTATGCGTTCCTCGCCAAAGTAATATGGACTGACAAACGGTTCAAACTTGACCTGAAGTGAAAACGGTTGTTAAGCGGGCGAACGGGAGCAACGCTGCTCGGATGCCGCCGCCGCACGATTGGCCGGAGACGGGAGGTCGCGGGACGAAGGCGGCGGACGCGAGTGAACGTGTTCCACGTGGGAGGGAGGGAGGGAGGGAGTTTGTGTAGCGGGTATGTTCTGGAGGAATCGTCTCACGAACGTGTTTAGTAGAGGGTGGGGAAGGTGTTTTGGCAATGGAAACATACCAGTCTGGAGATATCGTCTCACGAACGTGTTCAGTGTATCGGGGAAGGTGTTTTACTGGCGAGGACCTCACAAACGTGATCGGCGAAAGGGGAGAGGTGTTTTGAAATTTTGACAATGGGAACGTACCAGGAGAAAATGTCCCTCAATGAACTCATCATGAGTGTTCGATGCAGTGGGTGGGTGTTTGGGCTGGAACGAATATCATGGAGAAATCATTCTCACAAATGTGTTTCAAGTAGAGAATAGGTGTTTTGCTGGAAGGAATGTCGTGGAGAAATCTTCACACAAATGTGTTTCACGTAGGTGACAGGTGTTTTGGGCAAAGGAATGTCCTGGATAAATTATTTCGTGACTGTGTTAACAGGTTTTAGAGGGAATGGCATTTTAGTGACAGACCTCGTGGATAAATCCTGACACTAATGTGTTTGACGGACGAGGGCAGGTGTTTTTGTGGAGGGAACGCACGTGTTCGATGCAAGAGCCGTGTGTTTTGGTGGTAGGAATATCACTGGGAAAATCGAATGTTTTGGCGGCAGTGACCAGACAGATGAATCGCGGACGTGAATGAAATCACTGTTTTAAACAGGGAGAGGTTTTACCAGATCATGGATAAAATCGTGTAGGGGGGGGGGGACAGGTGTGTGCGAGAGGTAGATCATTTCATCGACATGTTAGACGTAGGCATCAGGAGCGCGGGCGGCAATGCTGCGACGACGCGACAAACAAAACAACGACCGACGCAGAACTTATACGACGCAAGACTTATACGATGCAAGTAACGAGCGAAATCGAAAACGAAAAAACCGGACGAACGGCGTCCAACCCCTGTCCAGGCATCCCTGTCTCCTCTCTCTCTGCTCTCGTCGCCGCTACGTGTGCTGTCCATGCAAGCAGCACACTGCGCCGCCATTAAGCAACCTCTCTCTCACCGCCACCCCGCCGACCACTTTGATCGACAACGTAAACCGCCATCTCGAAAATTCCCCCCACCCCTGACTTTTCTTTTTCGCGTGCGTGCGAAAAACCGACAAAGATTTTCGCGCTCGGAGATTATATGGGTGCGGCAGTGGCGGCGAGGTGAGAGCTTGTTTAGCGGGGACGCGAACTTGACAACCAATGACGGCGTGTCAGTGGCGATCTGCCGGCGAATAGAAATTGAGAGATGAGCCGGATTCCATTCCTTGACGGCGACGATGACGTGACGAGACCGATGCAGTTAGCGTGTAAACCCAGTAATGCTACACTCTCTCTCTCTCTCTCTCTCTCCCTCTCTCTCTTGCTCTCTCTCTCTCTCTCTCGCTCTCTCTCTCTCTCTCTCTCTCTCTCTCTCTCTCTTTCTCTCTCTCTCTTTCTCTCTCTCTCTCTC